AAAATCATACAATTACCCTGTGGGTTTTCGTATTTTTCTGTCGAGTTTCCAGTAGTGTTAATCATATTCAGATGATGCCTGTTTTCTTTAAAGTTATTTTTTAAAAGTTATGATGTGTATTGAGATTATAAAATTAGGAGCAGGTGACAATGAGGCACGTTATGTCCTTTGTGGGCCTTTATTGATCGACATTGTTTTTTTTTGGTTAAAAGAAGCTAGACTACGAGATTGTTACTAAAGCCATTCTTGGTGGAAGTTCAGAGATGTCTCACATGGGAAAAATGATGAGATATCAAGAAATTTATGAATAGATAATAATGGAGTAGGTTTTGTTGAGGAAGACTTGACTTGCATTGAGATGCACTAGGCATTAATAATTTAATTTACAAATAAGGGAGATTGGTTCACTTGCCTTGCTTTGACGGCCAATTATGATTTTATCCATGTTTTTCCAACTGCGTGATTGGACCCTTTTTTGAATCCAAAACCATCGTTTACCCCAATTTAAGGCTAAATAAATGAACTGAAGAAAAATAAAAAAGTAAAAATGCGAATTAAAAAGACAATACTAAGCCTTGGCCTTATCTAAACCTTCGCAGCTTGTTGCCATGGTTGATTAAGCATGCAACTTGTTGAGCTTTGCGTACATTTCAAATATGTACAAATTTTGCTGCAAAAAGTTATTCAAAATGCTACTTCAAAAATTTGATGTAAAAAAAGAGGCGCATGGTACGGGATCGGCACATGGACGAGGAGCGTCTGCACTGCATGGTGCAGCGATTGCGTCGTCCTCTCCTGGTCTCCTGGGCCCCGGTGAGTACACTGTTGTCCACCTACTGTAATCTTGGCGGCCAACGGGGGCTCATCAGTGCTTGGGCCAAACCATGCTATGACCACCACATGGATTCATGACTATTATATTATATTATATTATATTATATTATATTATATTATATTATATTATATTATATTATATTATATTATGAGCCGTGGAGGCCAAGATCACTGGAGGAGCAACTATATATATGAGCGGTGATCGTTCGTGCTCACATACGGGATGGACATAGATGGTCCGGTCATGTGCATCACGAGCGAGCGTCTCTGTGTGTACACGGATGACCACCATCACGATTCATGAGGGTGGCGCCGTCTCGTCAGAGCTGCAGCAAGCGCTAGCAGTTGTGGCCACATGGCTGAGCAGGTGTCGTGGTCCATGTTGTTTTATTTATGGCCACCAGGGAATCTGACCTAACGCTGTGTCTTTCTTTATGGCGACACGTACACGGGATCTGACACGTGGACCCAGCCATGGGGGCCTCACGAGGAGCGTCTGCAGTCTCCGGAGTGCAGATGTTGTGTCGTCCTCTCCTGGCCTCCTAGGCGTCGACTTGGCTCTCAGGCAATAATAATGGTCTCAGTCTCAAGGTGCTCAGCTCAATTAATCCCAAAACACTGGTGGATGATCTGGCTTGATTGCGTTTTTCATCTCTTGCATTGCACCAACAGTTTCAATGCGTCGGCGCACCGAAAGCCCTTGCTTCTGGACGTGCCGGGCAACTTGATCGTTTCTGCGGCTGATGAGGCGGCTGATGCTGTTTCGTTGTGAGAGACCGTATCATGGCTGATAAGCATGGCTGATACGTTCAAACGAACAGGGTGTAATATACAACCCTGTTCCTTCTTCTGTACATTGTAGTGCATTCATTTCGTTCTAATTGGGCCACAAATTTCTCGTTTTGCACGGTTGCACCACCTGGCTAACCTTGTTAAGACAGGCAAATCTGTCCCACTTGGCGTGAGACAGTGAACGAGTGGAAATTAAGAGCAAGTAGTAACCTGGGTTCTCGCTATAGTCCATAGGAGCAAAACAGCAGCAGAAGGGCCAGCACGTCAACTCTCTGCTTCCTCTACCCGAGAATGCCTTTTGTCTAACACAAGATGCTTTACAATATGATAGCGCCAAACTGAAGTTGAATATTGTTATCCAAGAATGCCTTTTGTCAAACACAAGATCCGCAACTGCCGCCTCAAAGCCACTAGTAGCTGTTTGCATGTGCGTTATATATATTTATATTATTATCGTCTCCTCGTTACCTGCTGCCAGATACTCTCCTACTATATTCTCTCTTTGCAGAGAAAAGGTAGCTCAAATATAGCTATTTTTGTAGTCCATTTTTCTCATCCCACTATATTCACCGGTGAATCCAAATATAGCTCAAATTCACAATGCAAAAGATTCACTACGCCAGACTACATTTGTACGGGAGGCTCCAGATGGTTTGTAGCAACGGTTTTGGCAATCGCCCTACCAAACCGTTGCTATAAATCAATTTGTAGGGACGGCTGACGATTTATAGGGGCGGCTGGATATTGAACCGCCTCTACAAATCAATTTCAAGAAATCACGAAAAAAGGGGCAAAAAAATAGCAAATTTTTTTTAATCCGAGGACCGCGACCTCTTCCTCACGCGTAAACTCCTCTACCACTGCACCACACAATCACTTGTGTCTATAATCCATTTTGGTTCACCACATATTATACAAAACCGAGCATAAATTGATTGTTTGAGGTCCTAAATTAATTCAAATGAAAAGGTTGTGAACTACAAAGTTTTATAACTTTTCGAGATCTACAACTTTTATTTTGATAGTTTCTCCATCCGAGGTCATTTACAAAATTTGAATTTCAATTTTAAGAAATTCGAACATAGTTTTCTATGACAAGATGATTTTAAATAAGAAAGTTGTCAACTACAAACTTTCATAACTTTTCAAGATCTACAACTTTCATTTTTGCTGTTTGTCCATCCGAGGTCGTTTAAAAAATTCAAATTTCAAACTTTTGGAAATTCAAACGTAGTTTTCGTTGACAAGATGATTTCAAATAAAAAATTGTCAACTACAAAGTTTCATAACTTTTCGAGATTTACAACTTTTATTTTGGTTGTTTCTCCATCCGAGGTCGTTTACAAAATTTGAATTTTGAATTTGAGAAATTCAAACGTAGTTTTCCATGACGAGATGAATTCAAATGAAAAATTTATCAATTACGAAGTTCTATAACTTTCCGAGATCTACTATTTTTGTTTTGGTCATTTGATCATTGGATCATCCGATATAGTGGTAGTAACATTGTTCACAAATTTTACATATCCCTACTTTAACTTTGTCGGATGAAGAAATGACCAAAATAAAAGTTGTAGATGTTGATGAGTTCTACAACTTTTATGTTCATGACTTTTTCAGTTAAAATCATTTAATATTTCAAAATAACGTTTGAAGTTGCCATTTTTTGAAATTCAATATTCAATCAGATAAAACACAGTCACATGAAAAGATGGATAAAAATATAGCTGTAAGAATACAATAAATTGATAGAGGATGATTTTAGAAATTTTTAGGAAAAATTCATCAAATTTAAAGTTAGTATGAGGGAGAAAGACTAGTTATAAGTTTTAGCTAGAGATTAAAAAGAAAAATCAAAGTTCTTCAATAATTTCAAAATTGAATTTCAAACAACATTTGGAAGCAGTAAATAAATTTAAATGAAAAAAATTGTAAACAACAAAGTTATTTAATTTGTCAAGATCTACAACTTTATTTTGGTCATTTCTCCATCCGAGGTCGTTTGAAAAAATTCAAAATTTAGTGCTTAATTTTTAATATTCGGCGCCTATTTGTAGGGGCAGTTCAATACTGAGCCACCCCTATAAATCTGATTTGTAGGGTCGGCTCAATATAGAGCCGCCCCTACAAATCGGGCCATTCATAGGGGCTGCTGATAACACCAGCCGTCCCTACAAATCCATTTGTAAGGGCGGCTCATTTGGCAACCAGTTATAGGGGTGGCTCAATATAGAGCCGCTCCAACAAAGAAAGGGATGCGTTGCTACAAATCGTTTCTATAGTAGTGATTAAGAATGGGCGCGCAATTGGGCTAGGTTTGTTCTTATGCCTTGGGTTTTCTAGTGGCGGGTGCATTAACACGATTGCCTCTAAAATCCATTTTCTAATGTGGGCATGGTTTTTGAGCGCCGAAATGATCTCTACAGACAGTGCGATAAAATTGTCACCTATGAAGTTAGAAGTCATTATCAAGTGAAGTAGTTTTTTTTAGTAGTGTATCGTATTTCGCACAGGAAAAATAGTGAGATGGCACTTTTCTATTTAACACATTTAAAAACTATAACCTTTTCATATGAGCTCATAACGAGAGATTATATTTATATGAATTTTGTAGATCTCAAGGCCATATATAATTTGAAAGTCGCCACCTTTTCATTTGAGGCTGACCATCCTGGTGCCATATAATCAATGCTTTTTACCTGCAACTCCTTGCTATACTCGCTCAGACGAAAACACCAAGAAAGAACGGGCGCATGCCGCAACAACCATTAGGGACGCGTGTTCACAGTGGTTTACCAGCGAATCAATAATGTTCGTCGCAGTTGCGAGGAAGGAGGCGTACACCTCAATAGACCCGCCTGCTAGCTGTACGCGACCATAAAAAGATAATGTAGCCGTGTTGCCAGCCACGTGAATACACCCAGCAATAATGTCATTCTCTCCTACATACCAGCGGTTGTAAGCGTGTCCACTATCGCATTTTATACCTCAAAACCCTTCTAATAAAGTACACCGGAAAGGATGCGAGTACCTTGTGAAGCGAGCCCAAAGCACATGGTAATGGACTCATGGCTGCTGTGGCCGACAAAGATCCACACTTAACTGTAAAAAAAGAAAAAAACATGCAGTGCTAAGCTTCCTTTATCGAAAAAAAACTGTAAAGCTACATGCGCGCACATGACTACAGATCAGATCAGATCCTTGCAGTGCCAAGGAGAAAACAATACGGACCGTCAGTGAATAGGAGAGAGTGAGAGACCAGCAAGCCTTGGTGCTTTTTAACATACAGAAGAGCATTAATCCGCAGCAACAAACGTTGAGAGCAAAGCAAGCAAGCAGAACCCTTGAGTGATTCAACTTGAGAGATCCCCACCATGGCTGTGGTCTTGGGGGCGATGGGCAAGCTCGCCCCCAAGTTGCTCCAGCTGCTCCAATCTGAATACGAGCTGCAGAAGAACGTGAAGAGGAAGGTGGAGTTCGTCACTCGGGAGCTAGAGAGCATCGAGGCCGCCCTCCACACGGTGGCGGCAGTGCCGTGGGATCAGCTCGATGAGCAGGTCAAGGTATGGGCTCGCCAAGTTAGGGATGCATCTTATGACATGGAGGATGTCATCGACACCTTCCTCCTGCGTGTCGAGGGTGGCGAGCCTGTAAACCATAGCAGGCTCAAACGTGCAACGAAGAAGATGGTTGGCCTGGTTGGCAAGTTCAAGGCTCGTCGCGACATCACTGGTGCCATTGATGGCATCGAGAAGCAGCTTCAGGAGGTCGCCGACAGGCGTGCCTGGTACAAAATTGATGATATTGTGGCCAATCCTGCACCTGCAACAACTGTTGATCCTCGCCTTTCAGCTGTTTACACAAAAGCATGTCGGCTCGTTGGCATCGATGAGCCAAGGGATAAACTCATTGAGATGCTGTCCATACGTGAGGGTGACAGGTCCAGCAATGAGATGAAAATTATCTCTATTGTTGGGTTTGGAGGATTGGGCAAGACCACTCTTGCCAAGGAAGTATATGACAAGGTTTATGATCAATTTGATTGTGGTGCTTTTGTTCCAGTGGGCCGTAATCCTGACCCAAAGAAAGTCCTGAGGGACATTCTAAGTGATCTCATTAATGGTGAGGACGAGAAACCCTTCTTTGATCAGTATAATGGAAGGAACACCGTTCCTGATCTGATGCCACTGGACGAAGGCAACATATCAGGTGCAAACCATGGAAACTTGGAAACTACCAATCAGAACTACTAGATGTTGATCCAATGGATAGGGTGAGGGGGCTTAAGCGCAAAAAAAAAAGGCTGGCGGATGGGGGGCTTAAGCGCAAAAAAATCCCACCTCTCACCCCATCCATTGGATCAGCATCTAGTGGTTCGGTAGTTTTCAAGTTTGCACAGGTTGGTTGGTTTGCACCTGAAACGTTGCCGCCACCTGGATGAATGGCAGCTCATCATTAAACTTCGTAAATTCATCAAAGGAAAAAGGTACACATTACCTACCCAATGCTATTGAAAAAAATTTATACACTATAATTGATCAGTGCTTTTAGTCTGATACTTTAAGACTACTTAAAGAGGCATGCATCATTCGGGTCTGTATACATGTTGCAGGTTATTTTACTGATTATCAGCTTTCGCATCTATCATGTGCCTAGCTACTTCAATGCCTTTCGATGATATAGGGCATAGACGATCTTTTGGATAATTATTAACTGTTATAAAAAAGGTTTGTGTAGGCCCATTTTATTTTTATGGTGGTCCACTAAGGGCCTCCGGCTATACTGTATGTATCAATTTTCAGAAGGGGTAGAAACTGAATTTTCATAGGTCTGTCTCTACTGTATACATCGTGAGTTTAATAACCTGCTCTATTTTTGTTCTACTTAATAGTTTCTTAAAAATCGATTTTCTAAAGAAGGCCACCTAAGCCAATTGCCTTTCAAACTCTATCTTAAGTGGTAGTCGCATCAGGTGGCCCATCTCTGAAAATCAAATTTGTTGTAGTAACCAATGTCAGTTTTTACAAGAAACTTGTGATGTTTCAAAGTAAGTCCAGAGCAATGAATTTACCGTCGAGCTAACAAATTTGCTATTATACCACTCCCTTCGTTTGTCAGTCAAACACTGTTTGATGAATAATTTCTGTTCTGATCAAGAGTAAAAATTTATCCAATAACCAACTGCATTATGCACAGTAGAGTGATCTGTGAGGTACATACCCGCCCCCTCTACAACTATTTGTCTATAATTACAAGACTGAAGAAGGCACATGAGGCTATCCCTTCAAAATTTCCTTGTTTTTCCACACACGACATATTGGAGTGGGGGGGATTCCAACATAAGTTTGTCATCCTCCTCTTCATCTAGCACAGTGTGACTAAGGTTCTCAACCATCGTCCGCTTGCAACCACGATAAGTTTTAACAATATTGCATGGTACTCCCTTTGCTTACTAAGAGGTAATACCCCAAACAAATATGAGCCCTTGATTTTTTAGGTTTTTTAATTAACTAATTAATTAATTAACCTGGTAAATGAATAAAAAACTATTGTCAAATCCTGGATACAGAAGCAATAGGGTACGACCAATTGTATGGCGAGCGATAGGATGCAGATGGAAGAGAGCGCGAGGTCGGCAGGGAGCGACTGAACGGACCACCAAGCCCATGTGGCCATGACTTTTCACGTATGTTTTTATAACATGTTTCATGTACGTTGGACATATTTCTCAAAAAAATGTACATTGGACATGTAGGCAAAGTTGGCACATACACAAAGTTTCACGTTTGCATCAATATATCACGTTATGCTATAAACGTAGGCATCAATATATAATATAAAGTTGAACATTCAATTATGTCATATCTAATGTTGCAAAAAATAAAAAGATTTACCGCATCTAATAAATCATGTATACATCAATTAGATCAAAAAAGAAATGTAATAGCAGAGATGGACTCTATGGTTGACACATCCAAGTAGTATTAGTTTGCATCTTAAGAATAGGTTGAGTATTATTGTATATGGACTCCTGGATAGATAAGTACTCCATGGTAATATTTGATATGAAATGTTCGATTTATGTATCCCTTAATTTGGTCAACAATATTAGTTGTGTTCGATATTAAATATTTGTATTCATCATTTGATCTCGGCTATCAACGATAGAGATATTTTTTGTTGAGATTATAAAAGTTGTATTTGGGATTAACCAAGACTCTTGGATGACTATAACAATCAATGGTATAGATCATACCTAGTCTTATAAGTAATACTAGAATCATGCCCATGCGTTGCAACAAAAAAAAGATACCATGATTACCAAGACTTCATTAGGTTTGTAGCTAAATTAAACTGGAAGAAAATAAAAAGTGAATTTATTATACCTCTACAAGTGCACGGATGGCAAGGTTCATGGTCTTTTTGCCAGAGATCTGCTTTTAGTTCTTCTCCAGGAATTCATGCATAGAGTTGGAGTTCCATCTTGTGGCGTTGGCCTTCTATGCAGAGGAGGTATAACGTAGACGGATTGATGCTGGTTTGTCCGAGTAGGGGTTGAACTGCACCACCGGATGATATAAGCACACGGACAGGGATGCATGAGCTCTGGGGAGACAATGACGTGGATCGGGACTCCATATTGGACTCATGAGCTTGGTAGAGGATGATGTTATGGTCTTTTTAGGTATAGAGATTTGGTATGACACCTATGAACCAATGCAAATTGCCGTAACATGTTCTGAAAATCAAACGGAGTAAATTTTTCTTTTTTTCCGTTTAATGTGTTAATATCTAGGCCATCCTAGAAAAAGTCGTGACTTCTTTTTTAAGACATGTTATTCTTGATTTTGGTAGAATCTCAGGATCAAAGCATTCATTAAAAACATAATGCTTTGCCAATCAAGCAATGGTTTTTTGCATACTTGTATATTTTTTTAGTATTACATGCAGCAACACGGCGGGTGCCTTATGCAAATTGTCATATATTGGTAGCTATTATACATGGTACGATGTAATAGTGTGCTCAACAATTGGGACAAATATGATCGACACCATTCAGTTATTTTGCTTTTATTGATTCATGGCTCTTGCCCTTTCATGTACAGGTACTGCATCGTTATCGATGATATATGGGATGAAAAAACATGGGAAGTCATTAAAAATGCTTTCGTGGACAGTAATCCTAGAAGTAGAATACACTATAACACAACATACTTTTGCCGACACTTTCTATGGTAGGCAAAGGGCACCTTTGCCGACAGATAACCTCCCGCGAAAAGTTTTCCCGACAGTTTAGAAACAGTCGCGCTAGAAGCCGTCGGCGACACTTTTGCCGACAGTTAACAGAATCGCCGACACTTTATGTGTAGGCAAATGCTCTACCTACGCCGACAGTTGAAACCTTTGCCGACAGTTGATCCTTTGCCGACAGTTAAGACCTACGGCGACAGTTAAGACCTTTGCCGACAGTTTATATGTTGGCCAAACCATTTCCAAGGTATTTTACAAACCATACCCTGCAAAAAAAAAAAACTATCGGCAAAACTGCATAGATATAATTATAATTAAAATAATTTGACAAATCCACTTTTGCTCATATAGAAGACATCACATTGAACAAATTCACTTGATTTTTGTATAAATAATATGTATATATATATATATATATATATATATATATATATATATATACATACATACATACATGTACATGTATAGACATAGTATAAGTCTTGTATTAATTGGTTATGACTAAAGCTCCATGGTTGCTACCACTCCAAAATATGGTTGCTGCCACTCCAAAATACTTGGAACACCAGCTTCGTGCACATATGGTTGCTGCCACTCTACAGAACATGTAACAGCTCTTTGATCGAACCTCAAAAGCTTGCCAATCCAAAATACTTGCAACAGCACATAGTACCTAACATGAAAAAATGTGAAATATCAGTGCAATGTGCTCTGTACATTAACTCATAATATGAAATGCACAGTATGCAAAATTCCAAAATTATGGGACACATTTATATTGCTATGTGTAGATGGCACCTTGAATTGACACATTTATATTACAGCAGCTAAGAGGACCTTGAATTGACACATTTATATTGCTATGTTTTCTACTCCATAAGCTCTGTTTTCCTGGCATACTTGCCTGAGATGAGCTACTACTACATGGGCACTGCCCAGGTACTAGTGATGGGCAAATCTGAACTAAACTATTTATTCATGTGATGCACAAACATGCATACAAGGAGCAAAAGATGGAACTGCAGCTTGCCGATAGATAAAATTTACTAATGGAATGCATCTATGCTGTCTAATACTCACATCGACCTAGGTACCAGAGAAGCAAAGACACATGCTCTGCTATGCCCTATTGTGCCATCTTCGATAGCTTAAGGCTCAGTTTAGACAAGTGAGAAGCAAATGACTCATTTGGACTAAAAACTGCACCTATGCTATCTGAAATATATGTTTTTTTGCATCTGCATTATATATGCTCTTGTATTGTAACAAATATCACTAATAGTAAACAGTAGACTAATGATGATGAGTACATATTCAAAAAAGAAAGAACGATCATTACAAGCTGAACTGCAGTAAAATTAGCAAGAGATGAAAAAGAATCCATATATGCCCAGAACTAGAACATCCACACATGCAAAGCCTTTTAACTAAAGCATGACCCTTCTAGTTCAAAAGGCAAAAAAGAGTTAGAGGGACCAAAGTGGATCTCGCCATATTGTTGGGATCATGCACCTCAACTCCTGGAAAGGTGAAGACGCCCATGCAAAATGCATACACCAGCCACAGAAAAGGCACGAAAGCAAATGAAGGGTTGCGATCACCAGGACAGTCAAGTGAAAACTTCAGGCCTTCAGGGGAAATTCTAACTTGGCCATAGTGCGAAGGCAGCGGTAAATTTACCAACAAGTAGCCAAATTATAAAGAACAATGAATGACGTCTTTCTACCGGACATGTAACTGTATCAACCACAGCATTGCATTTGACAGATACCTGACTATGTCCGGACAATACATTGCAGCCATATTATTGGGTCACATGGTATTTCTAACCTATAGTGGACAAAATTATACAAGAGCAATATAGAGCACTCTTAAATGGATGTAGCACTCAGATGTAACACATGACAGCAAGTGAAGGCAACTTGAGTAACGATGAGTGACATCTCGTGTACCGATCATGTAATCATATCAACCACAAGATTGTATAAGATGATACGACTATGACCGGACAACACAAAACATATTACAGTATCATACATCTTTAAATAAATACTATGACCCAATGAAACTATCATGGGAGAAAAATATATCTTGCCCAAATGGAACACATAGTAGGATTAGGAGAAGCAATATGTGTAACGATGAGCAGATTACATATCCTGTGCATGTAACGTGTTCACCAAAGAAATAAAAGCGGACACACGACTATACCAGCGTAGCAATTCTAATCGAATGGCACCCACAAAACACAATGACACATGCCACTACTCACAGAGCAAATCAAGAAGTCAAACACGAGATAAATGTGGGATCGAGATACAAGAGCAAGATCAACTAGAAGCTATTCCGCTTTCGGTCAGTGATCCCATTGTGCTTTAGCTGGTAAAGGACCATTACTGAACCAA